TCTATGTGCCCACAGCCCCCCTGCCCCTTCCCGGCCCCTAGTTTTTCCCTCTGGCTTTCTGTCTGGTGGCCGTGTAGGGCAGCACCGTTTGCGTGCTCTTGTCTGACACTGTCTGGGTGCTGCTGTTCCTCGTGACCCTTCGAGTCTGCTCTGGGGCCAAGGCAGGGCCTGAGCGGCGGCTGGTCAGTGGAGAACGCCTCAGCTTGTGCGGGGCCGGGGAAGGCTTGAGGGGGCCCACGTGGGGCTCTGTACGTGGAGGCTCAGAGGGCAGGCCCACTTCCTCCTCCTCCGCTTCCTCCTCGCCGTCCCCCTCCTCATCATCACAGCACAGTGCATGGTAGAGCACTTTGTCACTGAACCGCACCCTCTCCCGTGTGCCCGGGGTCCGCTGGGGCAGCTGGCCCTTGGTGGAGCCAGCACTGAACGCCTCCTCACTGGAAGAGTCTGGGGTCTCCACCCGTGGCCCATTGGGGATGGGCATGCCACCATTCATGAGCCGATAGTCAGGGCCAGCACCTGTCCGGGTCAGCTCAGGGCCATCCACAGAGTCTGAGGGGGTGGATACATCCAGGAAGGAGCAGAACTCCCAGCTGTCCGAGAGGATATCAGCTGTCATGAAGTCCAGGTGGCCCAGGTCAAAGGGGCCACCTATGCCTGCCTTGTCACTGCTGGAGGTGCTGCTCACAGTGGCTGTGGTCCAGTCGTCTGGCTCTAATTCAAAGTCGAAGTCTGAGGTCAGCTTATCAATCTGGCTTACCACCTGGCCAGAGAAGGGGAGAGGAGATGAGAGGTACCAGGTGAGGGTGAGAACCCCCTAGGTATGACTGCACCCCTGCCCCACCTTTGTAGACCCTAGCTGAGGACTCTATAGGATGGTGAATGAACTTGTCACCTTGATAACAGCCCAAATTGAACCAGGGTGAACAGAGCTTGTTCCAGCCATTCACAAAGACCTGTTTGTCCCTCCTCAGTCCCTTACATGTCTTGGAGATGTCTCCCAACCCTGCACCCCATTCCTTCACCCACCCCTCTCCCCCAAAGCCAACCACTGTCCTGAAGGGCATCCCTAGTGATCAAGGTTTGATCTACCTTTGATTGAAAGGCCATTTAAGAGGAACAGAGGCGTTCTGGTAGTGCAGTGGTTAAGGCATTCGTCTGCTAACCAAAAGGTTGACAGTTTGAATCCACCAGCCACTCCATGGGAGAAAGATGAGGCAGACTGCTTCCATAAAGATTTACAGACTTGGAAACCCTATGGAGCAATTCTACTGTCTTACAGGGTTGCTAAGGGTTGGAATTCACTTGGTGGTAGTGGGTTGGGTTGGGTTTTAGAGGAACTCTTAAGGAAGTCCCACTCACTAGAGTGGTGAGCACAGCACTCACCCTCAGGGAGGAAATTATATACAGCGGCCATAACAAAGACCCTGTCCAGGCTTTACAAAGCTGCCACTCAACGACGGTCCCCATGGTTCTTCCACAGCTGATCAGGACAAGAAGATCAGGTGTGTGGCACTGGCTAGGTTATCTTCCACCCACCCTTTTCCTCTCCCCTGTTCACTCCGAACAGAAATCAATCCTGGCTTGTTTGGAGAAGGAATAAAGCAAGTAGTATTTGGTAAGCAATAAAGAAACCATCCATCCTGGTCCCAGAGCTGCTTGTTAAATGATCTCAGGGGGCAGCTCAGCTGCGGAGGTCACTGGATCCTGCTCCCTTACATAAAGTTAAGCCTTCGGAAAATGTGGCAGGCAGGCCTCATACAAATGGGACTGCCTTAAGACCCCATTTGGCCTTCCATAAATGGGAGGGATAGGAAGACCCAATCAGAGACATAGGGGGTGACAGAACAAGAGGAGGTAGAAAGGAGATTCAGGTTCAAAACAAAGGCAAAACAGACCAAAAGTCAGGGCGACAGGGACCCAAAGACAAAAGAGCTACACAGTGAGTCATCAAGACTAGAATCTAGCTCCCAGCACCTCTTCAGTGTTCTTCACCTGCGGTCAGAGCAGTCAATTAATTAATTAACTAATTAATTCCTTGATTCAGCAAACATTGACTGAGGACTACTGCTGTCCAGGGATTTCTCAGCAAGGACTGGGGGTGGTGAGTGTCCCAAAGCAAAGGACAAAAGCAAGGGCTCAGTGGGAAGATTACTTGATCAGGAGTCAAGTGACTCAATGTAGGTGACCTTGGTCAGTCATTTTTCTTCTCTAGGTCTCAGCTTCTCAATCTATAAATGGGGTGGAGGAGTAAACTAGTTTATCTCCAAGGCCCCTTTCATCTCTGAGCTAGGATTCTATGCTTTTAGGAATGACTTGAGAACTTGCTTTGGGATGCCAAAGCCTAGAGATGCCCTTGTACCATGAATCCAGTCCTAGAGTTGAGAGACCATTTGGTTGATGCCTGTGGAAGACCTGGGGCAATCAGGACACTTGGCTTCCAGACTTAGCTTAGACATTGCTCTGTGTGACATTGGGCCAGTCACATAACCTCGCTGGGCTTGAACTTCATTTACCACAAAAACCAAATCCACTGCCATTGAGTCTATTCTGTCTCATAGTGACCCTTTAGGACAGAGTAGAATCTCTGGTAGCATAGTGGCTAAGACACTTGCCTGCTAACCAGACGGCTGGCGGTTCAAACCCACCAGCCACTCCTCGGAAGGAAGGTTGGGCAATCCTACTTCCGTAGTGATACTGCCTCGGAAACCCAAGGAGGGGTCGCTATGAGTCGGGGCCGACTCGATGGCACATAACAACAACAACAACAACAACAGAATTGCTCCATAGAGTTTTCAAGGCTGTAAATCTTTATGGAAGCAGCCTGCTACATCTTTTTCTCATGGAGTGGCTGGTGGGTTCGAACTACTGACCTTTTGGTTAGCATCCAAAGGCTTTAACCACTGCACCACCAGAGCACCAAGTGAATATGAAAATGCCAGCCTGCCAAGCTCAAAGAGTACCATGAAAAACAATGAGAAGGGCAAAAAAAGGGCCCTGTGGCTAGTTGGTGATAAAAATGACATCATCTTCCAGCTCTTGACCACCTACTATGCGCCAGATTTTCATCCTCGTTCTGGCATCTTCACCACCACCTATGAGATCATTATCTCCTGGATTTACAGATGAGGAGTCTGAGGTGCTTGTCACCAGAGGAGCTGAGATTCTTCCCCTGCAAAACTGCACACTGCTGGGAGGTGCTGCTTTGATTTCTGGGCTTGGGCAGCAATGGTGGGGCCCCTTCCTCCAATCTAGCTTATGGACCCCCTCCCAGGATAACTCCACCTACCTCACAGAAGCCCTCTCTCAACCCCATCTCCACCTGAGGACTGGTGGGAGGTTTGGCCTAGGGTTGAACTAAACCAATTGCTATTAAGTTGACTCCAATTCCAACTCATGGCAAATCCATGTATGTCAGAGTAGAACTGTGCTCAATAGGGTGGTTTTTTTGGATCTTATTCTAGATTCACAGGAAGTTGCAAAGAAAAGCACCTGGAGGGTCTGTGTACCCTTTACCCAACCCCTCCCAGTATAAACATTTTGTTTGGGAACATTAACTAAAGCTCAATATCGAACCCAGGAAATTGACATTTGTAGAATCTACAGAGCTTATTCAGGTTTCATCAGTTATTCACACACTCATTTGTGTGTGTGTGTTGTCATTAGTTGCTCAAGTTGATACTGACTCATGGGGACCCCACATGTGCAGAGTGGAACTGCTCCACAGGGTTTTTAAGGCTGTGACCTTTCCAAAGCAGGTCATGAGGACTGTCTTCTGACTCCATAGGGTTTTCAATGACTGATATCTTGGAAATAGATCACCAGGCCTTCCTTCCAAGGTGCCTCTGCATAAAATTGCATAAAACAGAGTAAGGGTCCTTAAACTAGAGTGTGCATCAACTCACTCCTCAGAATTTGAGTAGCTCCAGGATGGGGTTCAAGAAGGTTCACATCTAACAAGTTCCCAGGTGATGTTGCTGCTATTGGTCCAGAGACCATACCTGGATACCCATTGGCCTAGGATGCTGGGGATTTAAACCAGGCAACGATACAGCAGGTCAGGGCACTGGGGGCCTTCAGAGACACCCTGTGGCTGCTAGGGCAGCTACCCTCAAATCAGGTCTCCTTGATCAAGTGGGTTCCTGGGTGGTACAATTGGTTAATGTACTCAGCTGATAATCAAAAGTTTGGAGCTTTGAGTCTACCTAGAGGTGCCTTGGAAGAAAGGCCTGGCAATCGAATCACAACCATTGAAAACTCTATGTTCTATTGTAACACACATGGGGTCACTGTGAGTGAAGGCTGACTTACTAGCATCTAGTTCCTTAAGGTCAACTAGTTACAAGTGAGGCCTGTTGAGAGTCTGCTGCTGTCTGAGTGTGGGGGCACAATGACAGTAGGGATCTGCAGTTAAATGATTAAGCCTGATCTCACAGGTTTGGCTGTGGCTATGCTGGGTCTCCTAATACCTCAGGCCTGGCAGCAGGGAAGGTCCAGGGTACACAGGGAAAAGCACTCTAAAGCTTTTAGGACTGGACATACTACCCCAACCCAAGAAGCCCAAGCCTGTACCTCTTGGTGATTTCCCTCCTCCAAGTCTCAGTTTTCTCCCCTGTAAAATGGGATGGTACTCTCCTCCTCATCTAGGGTGATATGGGGATTTAACAGATACGAATGTGCCTGAAACTGCAGAGTCAGCATAGTCAAGTGCTTAAGAACCCAAGGATTAGAGACAGACCTGGGATCCAACTCTGATCTGCCACTCACTGCTGTGTGACCTTGGCCAAATTACTCAGCCTGTCTGGGCCTAAGTTTCTTCATCTGTAAAAGGAGAATTCTAGCAGTACCTCCTTGGCAGGGCTGTTTTGAGGATTTAAGGCATGTAAAGCATGCAGAACAATGTAGACTACTAATATCCACTATGTTCTCCTGGGTAGTACAAACCATTAAGCATTTGACTATCAGCCAAACGGTTGGCGTTTTGAATCCACCAAGGGAGCCTTGGAACACAGGCCTGGTGATCTGCTTCCAAGAGGTCACAGCCTTGAAAACCCTATGGAGCAGTTCTATTCTGCACACATAGGGTACTGTGAGTTGCAACTGACTCGACGACAACTAACAACAAAGTGTACACTGTATACCAATGGGCATTAACATGCAATCAGGCCCCCAGCACCAGGCCCAAGTGATGGAAGTCAACTCTTCACCAAAGTGATGAAAGTTCAGTGGAGAAATTTCTGGTGCCTGTGGCAGAATAAATGGGGATATACAGGGCCTTCCAAATGCCAGCACATGGGTAGCACCTACTTTGCTAAAGTAGGGCTGTCTCCAGACAAAATAGAAGCAAAAGAGGTTCTAAACAATAAGCCTAATGGTTATGAGGCTGACAGGCAAGTCTGGCTCAATCTGTTAGGTGGGACCTATCCCATCTACTTGATAAATGACATTAGTGAGGCTCAGAAAAAGAAGTGATGTGCCTAAGTGCACATAGCTTGTAGGTAAGGAACTGGGTCTGTCACAAAATCCCTGCACCTCCCTGGGCCCTCATTTCATGAAGCCAGTGAAGAGGGCAGGTGTGGGGCAGGCCCACGCTACCTGCCTCTCTGCTTTGGATGCCTTGAAATCTGTGATTTCTCTCAGAGATTTAATAATCATTTTGCCTACATGTAATTTGGGATTGTCTTGGAGTGCAGGGAAATAATTATATACACATAAGGAAAGAGAAGGGGAGAGAGAGAAGTAGAATCACAGAATCATAGTGTC